ATTGAGACTGATCTCACTTGCTATTTAACTGACCACAGCAATTCAGACTGGTCTCAAATGTGGTCAGACTGGCAGTCACAGTTGAGACTGATCTCACCACTGACCACACTAGACAGAATCATTGAGACCAATCTCATCCACAGTATTCTTTGATTATGAGACAAACATACTAAACTTATATTGTCCCAGTATACATGAGTAGACAGCCACTAATATTCACAATGTTATGAAATTGACAAATGTATTAAAAATGAACAGTCACAAAGTAAGATTATACAAATATAAAGATGTAACAAACATAAATGAAAAAATTTCATTTAATCTCGAGATTTCCAATGAGAACAGTTGAAGAGACGCGCTCCTCTTTGACATCTTCTCCAGATTGCAAGCCGTGGCAAGGATGTGGACTGCAAGGAGGCAGATGAAGAAGATTCTCAATCGTGCTGTTGTCATTCGTACGATACAGAGAAATGCTTATGTTTATGGCGAGCTCTGAGATTGGCCATGGTGGCAGTTGTACACAAGGGTTCAGTAGAAGTCCTTTATCTCTCATATTGGTCACTGACTCACAGTTGCAGGTCCGCCCATTGCTTGTCGCAACTCGGAATGACGAAGCGCTCCGCCAGAAAGAGGCTGAACTGGTACTTATCAAGGAGCGCGCCGAGTGGGAGCAGAAGGAGAAGGAGGCTCTTGAAGGTCTAAGAATGCGCCTCGAAGCTGAGAAGAGTAAGGTGGAGACAGAACTGGAAGCGGAAAGAGCTCTCGCCCTGGACAAGGATGCTCTGCTTGAACGTAGCAAGAAACGCGAGGCAGAGCTGGAGGATGAGGTCGCAGCTTTGCAGGCGGATCTGGACATACTCGATTCTCAGCTTGATCGTGCCCTCAAGCTGCAGAAGGAGAGCGAGGAGAAGCATGAGACTCTCAGGCAGGCATTCGATCAAGCTGCGGAGCATCTCGTGCGCCTCGAGGCTGAGCAGCAAGAGCGGGAAGGGAGAGAAGCTGACCTGAACCAGCAGCTGGATATCGCTCAAGAGGAGACTGATGTCTTGAAGGCAGAACGCGAGGAGTTGCAGAAGATTGCTGAGGAGCTCAAGGATCTTGCCGCACAACGCGAGCAGGACTTAGCTCGTGCTACGGAGCGGATGGATTCGTTGGCCTCTGACCTCAATAATGAACTCAGTGCTGAGTCCCGAAACAGGTTTTTCACGAGCCACCCATCCTCGCACCCGCGACTCACAACATCTTTTAGCGACGTTTTCCGTGATAAAGTGGATACACTTGAGCAAGAGGCTCGACAGGCCAAGGAGCAACTTGCTGAGATGGCGCGGACTGCCACTGAATACTCGAACATGATCAAGCAGAAAGAGCAGGTTATCGATCGCCTCACAGCTGAGCTGGAGAAGTCGAAGGGAGAGCGCGGACAGTTGCTAAAGCAAATCACCGAGCTTCAAGCTAGAGTTGATACTCTGAGTGTGGAGCTCGATGCTCAGCACAGTGATCGGGAACGCGATTCGGCTCTGCAGTCGAAACTCCAACAGGAGCTGGACGAGCTCTGTGCGCTGCTTGCAAGGAAGTCTACAGAGGAGACTCGGCGTTCTGAAGTCGAGAAGAGCAAGGGACAGGAGCTCACCGACTTACGTGGGCAAGTCAGCCAGCTATCCCGTGAACTTGATGATGCTCGTAGGGTAGCAGTGGAGGGCAACAATACCCTGAAGGCTGAGACGGATACCCTGGATCGAGAGTATCGCTCGCTACAGCAAAGCTACAACTCACTCCTCGAACGTGAACAATCAGCACAAGCTCAATTGATGCAGACAGCCACCGCTCTGGCTGAAGCGGAGAAGACAAAGCGAGCTTTAGATTCTGAGCTCCAGCTGGTCCGATCCCGCCTTATCGATACCGAAAGTCAGCTTGCTGAGATGCAGAAATCAAAGGAGGTTTGTTTCTGAGTAATCTTGGCCATGGTTGATATCATCTGACACGCATTCGCAGGCTCTTGAACGCCAGTTGACTGCCACACAAGCCAAATACGAGGACTCTGAGGACGTCGTTCTACAGCTGGAGCGAGAGAAGAGCGCTCACGATCGACAGGTGGAGGCTATCAAGAAGCAGCTCGGTGCCGAGTCCGCGAAGCGTAGCAAGCTTGAGAGGACGGCATCGTCTCAGAAAATCGAGATCGCTCGCCTGAAAGAGATGAATACTAAGTTCGATCGAGAGCTCAACAAGGCGCTATCCGAGCTGAAGGCCAGAGCGTGGGAAGTCAAGCAGCCCGAAGCCAAGCAAGACAAGACGATCGTCGAGCACGTCCATGTATTGGAAGAAGCAAAGCGCGTGACGGACCACCAGCTGCTGAAGGCCCAAGAAGAGTTCGAGGCAAATCGGGCTTATCTGAAGTCCCTTGAAAAAGCAAAGAGCCGTCTCATGAACGAAGCGGAAGATCTTACACGCAAGAGAGAGTATGTACAAGTAGAGCTCCGTTCGAAGGACAGGAAAGTGCAAGCCAAAGAACAGAAGGCGATTTGAGCACTGTCAGGACTTGAACACGAGAAGCGCGCAAGAGAAGCCGCAGAAGCGCACGTCAAGCGTCTGCAGATCGAATTGCAACACACACAAGAGCAGGTAACCGATGTCAAGACGCAATTGGCGACCGTACAGAAGGCGAAGGACAATCTTGACCTTGAGCTCACTCGTCTGGCGGATCAGACTGATGCTCCCATGTCAGCTGTCAGGCTGCAGAGACAGCACGAGGCTCGTATCAGCATGCTGGAGAGCCAGCTTGAGGAAGCAGAGATGGCAAAGGACACAGCTGCCAGAATCAAGGAGCATGTGGACCGTCAACATCCCGAGATTCGTCGATTGATCATGAATA